TACCTAGGGTCTGTTATCCAAAGCGACGGTGAACTGGATCGTACTGTGAGGCACAGAATTGACGCAGGATGGATGAAATGGCGGCAGGTCACGGGCACCATATGTGACTCGCACATCCCTCTTCCCCTAAAAGGGAAGATATATAAGACCTTAATAAGGCCTGCCGTCTTGTATGGATCAGCTTGTTGGACAACGAAAGTGGCGGATGAAAGGCGATTGCATGCAGCAGAGATGCGAATGTTGCGATGGATGTGTGGAGTAACGAGAATGGATAGAATACGGAATGAATATGTTAGAGGAAGTCTGAAAGTGGCACCTGTGACAGAGAAGCTGAGGAGTGCACGTTTGGGATGGTATGGACATGTGATGAGACGGAATGAAAATGAGGTTGTTAAGAGAGTGTTAACTATGAATGTGGAAGGATTTAGAGGAAGAGGTAGACCTAAGAAGAAATGGATGGATTGTGTGAAAGACGATATGGGTAGGAGGGGAGTGAGCGAAGAAATGGTATATGATAGAAGAGTATGGAAGGAGAAAACATGTTGCGCCGACCCCAGGTGACTGGGAGAAGGGCAGGATAATGATGATACTATTGTATCGTGACTGGCAGAACAAATTTAAGTGAAGCAAGTGTAAGCCAGCCTCCTGTCTTTCTCGCCGGAATTTCTCATTAGGTCGCAATTCCGAGCTGATCTCTGTGGGACCTCATCTCTAAAGGAACTGGTGCACCTGATAGCAAGCCTTTCCTTCCTGAATTTCATTCATCCATGCTACTCAATTCTCAAAGTCTCTAAAATAGCTGCCGATGAAAAAAGCCAACAGCCTATTGATATTTCTTAAACTAGCAAATCTACAGGTTGCTAATTGTAGGCCCACACCAAGTACAGTTTATCTAAAATCAGAGTAGGTACTAAAAGCGTCTGCCGAGTAGTAAGGCTATAACAACATTTCAGACACTAAGAATATCGCTAACTTGCAAGCAGTTTGGTTGAATTAGACCTAAAAGAGTTTTGAAGTGAGTCAAGGACCGACTCAACAATAGGTGTCTCAATAATGCACTACTTATATAAATTTCGTAAGTCTTTTTTTATTTGTGCAAGTGGCCACTTTTAAAACTGTCTATTGTCACCTGTGACGGTCCTGATGATGAGAAATACAACGTCACAAAAAAGACGAAAGGACTGTCATTGTAAAGTGACGGAAATGGGGAAGTATGCTGAGACAGTGCGCAAACTTAGCGGAATTGTTAGTCAAGAAAGTTTCATCTAATTTGTCAATTATTCAAAGAAAGAGTGGACAAAAAGTTAGAAAAGACTGAGTCGGATAAGAACAGAGAATCCCGTTTCAGTCGACATATCGGTCGGTCTATCGACATCAATACTACAAAAAATGGGAGTGAAAAGACTCTATAACATCAGTTCATTGTTCTCAACAACTGAACACTCTGTTTAATTATCATCCTAGTCGTACACTCTTGACAGAGTGGTCGTGGTCATGCATCAGTCGAATCCTGCGACAACGATACTCTCGCGATGCGACGCCATTAATGACGCTGTTTAATTATAGATCGCCTCAAATAAAATCTCAAAGGGACTAAAAAATTTATAAGCTAGAGTCAACTAAAACGCAACTAAATACCCATCTTTAAATGAGTAGAAAAAGGTTCAAGTTTAAAAATTCTAACAATGTAAAATGTTCATCTCAAAACTTTCTCTATATTAAAACGACTGAAATACTTCTTTACTGCCAGTTTATTAATTAAATCTTAATAATAATAATAAAATTCGAGACACAATTGAACCTAACCACAATAAGATAAGAGAACGTCAAGTGTGCAAGGCCGGAAACAGCATTCGTCCACTACGCCGCGTTTCCCGCGAGATCCCAAGTATTGTCTCGTCCAGAAGTAGGGCGCGTACTGCGCACCGCTGCGTTTCTCCACCCCGAAGCACAAGTCGGCGAGTGTATCCGCCAAGTGTCGGCCGCAGTACGTGCGCGCTACCTCCTGCGCCTCGCTTGAACACATCAAACTGATCACGACTACTAACATGAACATTACTGAAGTCTTCATCATGGTGCTTTGTAATCGTTTTAAGAGAAGGTCCTTATCAGCCCAAACTATTGGATTCGAATGTAATGTAAGCAAGACGAACTGGTTCTTTTATACTGAAAACTCCTTAATTACTATTCAATTAATCCCACCTTACAATGTCGCCTGGGTCCATTACGTCAAAAGCACATTAGACTACAGATCTGGAAAATTTCATTTGTACCGGGGTCAAACGTTCTAAAGCCTGAATGAAACCTACACACTGTGAAATAAATTAGACCGGCGGATGTAAACCTAAATATTCATAATGATGCAGCTGGTATTGATCCTCGAGTAGCGTCACGTTTCGCATATAAAGTCTCTGAACTTGGTTACTGTTTACTGCGAATGTTCTATTCCAGCACAAGAATTCGGTTCGTGTACATTTTATGAACTGGTAAAACGATAATTTCGGAGCTTTGCTGGAGAATACCAGTTTGCAGACCAGAGTTGGGCGAACCTTAGGCTTGCCGAACCTCGCATCAAACGAGACAGTCTTAATCTAAGACTTCTTAGAATGATTTCAACATTGTAACCCGGTCATCACTTGGCACGCGCAGTTCCTCTATGGTAGAATTTGCCACTACGAATCTTTTGAAATGATTCCAGCTATTAAAGCACTCATACCACGCCATACTTTCATAAATAATCCACAAAGCATGATGATGACTACAGCTCTGATAAAGTCATAAACGCTCTCTTCCAGCCACGCGTGTATCGAGCGTTATGAACTGGTTCTAAGTTCACCACTGATACCGGATGATGCTTACTTTGTCTCCTAGTTACTACTTACTACATAATGATGATGACAAATATTTATAAATTTTGCGAGGCGTTCAAAATTAAAAGTTGCGTTAAGTAAATGTACAAAATTTAATTCAGTTCATTGGTTTATTATTGGAACCTACGCAATGTCATATAAATCACATGTCCATGTGTTATTATATCAATATTCATTATCTAATCGTCCATATATAAAGGAAGGGTTGCTTAGCTTTCTTCACATTCACATTTCATTTGTGGTATCAGCGAGACGTCCTCCGAAACACACTTTAGTCGCCAAACATGAAGATTCTCCTTGCTATTGCATTAATGTTGTCAACAGTAATGTGGGTGTCAACACAACAGCCACAAGAAGTGCACACGTATTGCGGGCGCCACTTGGCTCGCACTATGGCCGACCTGTGCTGGGAAGAGGGCGTGGACAAGCGCAGCGATGCTCAGTTCGCGAGCTACGGCTCCGCGTGGCTAATGCCGTACTCGGCAGGACGCGGCATCGTGGATGAGTGCTGTCTCAGACCCTGCAGCGTGGACGTGCTTCTGTCGTACTGTTAGACCACTCTTTTACCAAACTAATTCGTTCTCAAAACATTTGGAAATAAATAGCTGTAAATAACAAAAAGTTGTTCTTCTCTTCCTGAACCATACCTAGAAGTGTTGACTGGCGATACACATACAGTTTACACGCTTTACGTCGTTGATTTTGATCTTTTTTTATTTTTTTTATTGCTCAGATGGGTAGATGAGCTCACAGCCCACCTGGTGTTAAGTGTTTACTGGACCCCATAGACATCCACAACGTAAATGCGCCACCCACCTTGAGATATAAGTTCTAATGTCTCAAGTATAGTTACAACGGCTGCCCCACCCTTCAAACCGAAAGGCATTACTGCTTCACAGCAGAAATAGGTAGGGTGGTGGTACCCACCCGCGCGGACTCACAAGAGGTCCTACCACCAGTAAAAAGATCGCCAAAAGCAAAATTAAAAGGTTTTGTCTTGCCCTCGAGCCCCGTGAAAATGCTTACTTTTGTGGCGTGGCATGACAGACTCTCACGCCTGGGTAATAATATTAAGCGGTTACCAGAGTCATAACACTCACGGTTACTTGGGAATATAGAACCCAAGAATAATTGCATTACTGTGTAGTACTTAACCAAACAATAACCTAGAACCAGCAAATCAACCCAAAAAAATGTCATGTAAGAGAGCAAATTTATGACCTTGTGTATGCCGCTCTTTAGGCTTTTAATTTTGTTCAGATAACATTCCCAAATGCTCACGGCCAACAGCCTATTAACAATATATTGGTCATGCTGAAGGAGTGCTCGCTTAAAAGTCCTTTCATGTAAGGTATCTTTAATTAAACACGCCTACCTATATAGTGTTTGTATTAATGTTTCAATAAATTCTATAAAAGCCGTTTACACGTTTTTCTTCCCTCCTCTTTTTGTCTCATCGTCTGTCATTCTTTCTTCCCTTTTACGACTTCCTCCACATAGGTTGGTCTTTGTACCTGTAGTGGTCTTTTGAGTCGGCACAATGGTATGATTTCGTATTCTCAAATATAATATCTTCGAGCTGTCGTATTCTTATCTTACTGGTAAATTTCGTTGTAACTATGGATCTCTATTGCCTATTAAATTTAACTCGAATTAAATAAGAGACTATTATTACTGTACAATTCAGAGTATTTCTTGGACATTAACAATATTTTCAGGTATACTATTATATCGTGACTGGCAGAATAAATTTAAGTGCAGCAAGTGTAAGCCAGCCTCCTGCCTTTCTCGCCGGAATTTCTCATTAGGTCGCAATTCCGA